AAAAGAAAAAAAATCTAGTAGTTTAGTTGTGGTCAAAGAAAGAGTCAGTGGGGGTGGGGGAGGTTTCAGCAGCATGCTGGTAGAAAAAAAGAGACTTACATAGTCTGGGAGGGCAGTGAAATGGAAGGCGTGGTAACCTCGCTCACTTAGTTGTCATTTTTGATTTTCAATGACATTTTTTTCTTTCTTTCGCCTAGTAAAGATGACAGAAGGTCCTAATTTATTATCTGATATCTATTCCTGTTCCTAGATTTAAGAACTCTTAACTGCACATAGTCATATAACCCAAATACAAACACTTCGGAAAAACAAAACAAAACAAAACACTAAAGCACTAATGTTGCATGCATTCCATTATCATTATAACTGCATACACAAACCAAAGATCAGGATTTGGTGGGGAAGAACCAGGCTGCACAGCATAGGCACTTGGAGGATAGAGTAGGGTGAATTTGCAGTTTGCTCAGATTAAAGCAGGAGAAGGTAGGACATTTCTGTAAAGAATGACATGAGCCATGGACTAGATAAGAGTGCCCAGAGTTAATGTTCTCACGATGGCTTTCTGGTCCACATATCCTAGATGCACAAGTTCAGCTGGTCAAAGTGCACATCAACACCACACTAGAGGTTCTCTATGGTATATGCCTTCTGCTCAAGAGGTTAGGCTGCAATTTAGATGATGAGAGAAGTAACAGGGACATTTTCATCTAACATGACCTGGCAGATCATGCCAGCCTGACCCCAGGTTGGTGCAATGTAAGTTTAATTTCTGATTTGGAATGTAAATTCTACCATGGCCAGATCAGATTAGGCAATGCTATGGTCCTCAGGACATTTTCTTCCACTTCCACTCGGTGGGTGCTCTGCAACATAATGGTGAGCTGGTGTGCTGAAGGTACTTAGGAAATTTGTAGGATAACAGCATAAATTAAATCCCTGGAAGAAAGCTGCCAGGGATGGCAAAGGCCCCCAATTCCACAGCTGATTTGTACATTCTAAGGAGCAAGACAGAGTATTAAAAGGAACAGAAAAGAATTTTCATAACTGGAATGGGAAGGGACCAAGGGGAGAAAAGAACTGAAAAACAAACAAAACAAGTAACCCCTCCCCCACCAAAGTAAACAAGTTAATGCCAAAGATACTGGTCAATAGCAAAAGACTGGAATTTGGATTCTAGTTCTCAAGAGGCAGACTATCACATCTGTTCATCTGGTCTCAGGCAGTTTCTTTCATGCCCAATCTCAAGTTAGATCTTTGATAGATGAGTGCTGTTCATTCCATCTATTTGTAAAGGAACTATCTCTAAGGGAGGTTTAAGTCTAAAAAGTATAGTCTGAAATTTAAGTGGGATTATTCACAAGATAAAAAAGCAAAATGATATTTAGTTAGTTTCCACAGCATATATGCATAGGATATGTCTGCTTATTTTTTAAAAAACTAAACTGTTGTAAGAGACATTTTAATTATACTGTAAGAGGTTATTATTTAAAAGCAGCAGGGCAAAATACATCTTAGTTCAATTAAAATGGTTAAAAATTAAAGTAATAGTAGCATAAAAATTCTGATGAATAGCTTCCATGTTTGGGGCTTCCCTTACTGTAAGCTAATTTCACTCCAGGGTTGTTCACAGAGTGCTGCTATACTGAGAACACAGAGAAAAGAGAAGAAAGTTCTCTGGACCCAGCTCATCAGTGTGCAGTTCCAGGGTAACCTCACTCTCAAGGAAACACATACAAATGAGCTAGCAGACAGCCATATCCTTCTAGCATTTTAATGTCAACCTCTTGCTTGGATGGGAATCTGTGTATGCCAGTTGACACAGAGCCAGCAGCGGCTTCAGGCAGAAGGAATCCCCTTCTGTCTGCTAGATCCATAATCTGCGTGGGTAAGTGTGGATCAAGTCTGCCTTGAGGAAAGGCTCCCATGAGTCTAGATCACAAGCCACCTACCCCAGTTCTCTGTCTAGGATGTGCTGCATATGGGTCTGTCTGAAAGAATATAAGGACATTGTATAACACGGACTTGATTGTTCTTTTGGGTGTGTGTTTTCCTGAAGTTGTCAGTGAAAACTACAACTATCAAGTCTATTGATGTTCTAATGCCAAAGTCAAACTGGTTGTTAATCTGAGCTGCTTTTGCTTTATTTGATGAGAAAGGAATTCTAATGCTGCTACTGATGTCCCCATTGAAGACAAGTACAAGTATGTACTGAGCAATTTGCTACATTACTCACATGGTTTCTTAAAAACTCTCTTTAGACAAGTTAGATTGGTCACCATCAGCACAAAAGCAACCCCAAGGGGATGCAGGTACAGGTGTTTTCTTTCCATTTCACCAAATACTAGAATTGAGTTGGGTGGGGAGAGAATGAGCATCCATGGCTACATGCTTCTGTTTGCAGGCAGCTTCTGTTTTCTGCTTAGGAAAAGCCACGGGATGCAGGTGGCCATTTATTCCTCTAAGCAAGGCCTGCAAAAACCTGATGACCTAATTCAAAGAATCAGCTCTTGCTGAACCTCTTCCAAGCATTAGCTATTTTTTATTCTTACATTACTAATTTCATAAAAAGTCAGCCCATCTTTCTCCATTCCTAGTGACCTGGACTCTTTAATTCCCCAAAGCACCCTGCTCCTTCTGCTAACCTCTGCCTCAATTAGTTTTATTTGTGGGACTCTAGGGATGAGATGGAGTCTTGGTGGAACAGTGTTTAAGCGCTCAGCTGCTAATTGAAAGGTTGTTGGTTTGAACCCACAGCCCACTTTGTGGCAGAAAGATGTGTCAATCTACTTCCGTAAAGATTTACAGCCTTGGGAAATCCTATGGGAGCAGTTTTACTTTATCCTATAGGGTTGATCTGCGTAGGAATCGATTTGAGGGCAATGGGGGAGGGGATGGTAATGTTTAGAGTAGGGGAGAAAGGAGCTTTCAATTTTTTTTTTTTCTCTTATTATGATCAAGTTGAGATGAAATATGGGGCTTGCCATCAACAAAATTACAAAACAATTCCATTGGGAGCCCAGACCATCCAGAGTAATTCATCTATGAAAAAGCCAACTTTAATTGTTTCTCTTGGCAGCAAACTAAGAGAAGAGTGAAATATTAGACTAAATCTTGCCACGTGCTATAGTAAAATACGACTTCCTTCTTGCCAGAAGCAGTGTACAGCCCCCATTAGACTCACGTTTGGATCTGGTGGTTTAGTCTAAATCCTGTTTCCCCCACTCCAAAACCAACAGAGGTTTTCAAAAGAACTGCATTTTTATTGGAACCATTTGCTCTTTTTAACTTGCCAAAAAGGAATAAGTAAAACTAAGACTTTTATTTGGGTTAGAGTTGATTCCTTAGCTTCATGGAGGTCAATGTACTTAAGTCTGTGAACTTTCTAGTAAGAAGTTCACTGCAGAGTTGAATCAGTCAAGGTTATGTTTTGGTCCCTTTCTTCCTCCCCCAGTCTCAAGGATTTATACAGTAGGATTTGAGAGCACGCGGAAGCTAATCAAAATGAAACATACATATGGCAAATTACAACCTAGATTTTCGGGACTAAGCAGAACTTCAAATATTTTTGATGCCACCCATATATTTGCAATTTTGGGATCAAGTGTCTTGATTTGAATTTCAAAAACATGATCCCAAAAGGTATTCACAACCATTTCAATTAAAACCTCATGGGACACTGCTGCATTATGCAGTTACGAGCATGAAAAGGTGTTTGAGAATACACATAAGCAGAAGGAGATTCTTCTTTTTCTGAAAATGTAATAAAGTCTTTAGTGAAGATGTTAATCAAAGAACTCTTTTATGGGTCCCTGGGATATTTATAGGTTTTGGCTTAACATGAATCTGTAATAAGCTACTTGCAAATACTTTTTAAAATATACATTTCCTATATAAATATTTGCGAACATCAAATGTAATTCATTAAAGATATATTAAGATCATACGTAACATGATATAATATGTAGATAATATTATTCAACTTCCAAACTATTTGCATTGGAGAAACTAGGGTTCAGAAAAACTAATTGACTTGTCAAGGATTATTTAGCAAGTGATCAGAAGACGGAGAATTAAGACCTCAATTTCTAAGTAGATATTCTCTGTGCTATGGAACATTGTTTTTCTTTCATGTTGTTGCAGTGAGGTGCCATCCATAGGGACATACATGAAGAATATTTGACAGTCAATTTAAATCTGCAGATAGGATAAAAAGTAATCTTTATTTGTAAGGTAAAGTAATGTACTGAAATTCTGATCCTCTGCAACTTGAGTTAAACTTTAATATATCTGTTTTATAAAATTACTTTCTTTTTAAACATAATATATATTATCTATGACAATTAACAAAATGTCAACTCTTAAGACAACTTGAGGGAACTATCATCTGTATTAGCCATGGAAGAATACTCAGCACTTTATTACTATTTACTGGGCTATATAAAAAAATTAATAAAGACTGCACATCATAAAGCATAAAAACTTAAAACACTCTAGTCTGAGTTATTATTTTGTATAAAGTTCTCTCTTAGGACTATGCTTATTTTTTCAATTTGTGGAAGTTAATACGAAAACAAAATTTACAAAATTAAATTAAATTAGCCTAGCAGCTAGCAGTGTTATACTGAAGTGAACAAGATACATCAGTCACTATCTAAGAGGAAATAGGCACTATAAAAGGCGAGGACTGTTAAAATACATTGTTACAAATAATATTCAGATAATTGAGGCAGCAAATAGTAATCTCATAGGTTAACTAGGAAGTTTGTTGATCTTTGAAAATATTGACCAATGATCCGGGGAGCCAAGGAAATCAGCCTTCAAAGTGTTGTTTTGATTTTTTTAAAAAAATTAATCTGCCTTTAATTTACTGAAAGATCAAGCTTTTGGTTGGTCAACATAAAATTTAAGTTTCTTTGAGGGTTTCTATTTCCTGCACTCCATTAAAATGGAGGAAAAATAAAAATATTTTGCCTGTGACATAATATGAAAGAAGTTCTCACCCTTAAAACCAGCAGCATTGGTTTTCCAGTCATTAGCGTTCAAATGTCCTGCACGGGAAGTCCTGACAATAACATGCTGCACATCTCTCCAGGTCAGAAACGGACTGGGGAAAGACAAGGTAAGAATCATTGTACCAAAAAAAAAAAAAAAAAGATGGGGGAAGCAGAGAGTCACAAGCAATTAAAAAAGCAAAATCAAAATGGCAAAGTACTAAAAACAAAGGGGCAGGACTTTGGGTTTGGGAGAAACAGTCTGACATGCCGTTCTGTTTTCAACATGGAGAGGTGACGTTAGTCTGAGGGAGGCAGGAAATATAACCTTAAATTTAAGAAATAATATTATATTCTTCTGTAATCTAGTCTTTGAAAGAGTGAGGATTTCCAGTTTCCTCAACAAAATTGCTGCCAATTGTGGTATCTTCATCGTTTGTGTAAAAGCTTGCATCATCACTGGAAGATTATGGTAAAGTAAAAGCAAAACTTAAACCCTGTGGAACATTTCTAATTCCTTTGTATAGCCAAGGCATTGATTTGTAATTTTCCAAAGAACTAAGCAATGTTTAGCTTTCCACATGTATATATATACAGAATTCGGAAAAGCCTCAACTGAAACCTAGCTCATTTTCAGTGTTCTTCAAGGAAGAAGGTATGGCACAGAGACCAAAGCGGGTCCAAAGTACAGACAGATACGGGAGTGTTTTCAGTAAGGAATGATGATTTGATTGGCATTAGTGGTGCAATAGTTAAGCGCTTGGTTGCTAATAGAAATGTTGCTGATTCGAACTCGTCCAGCGGCTCCATGGGAGAAAAGACCTGACAGTCTGCTTTTGTTACAATTACAGCCTAGAAAACCCACGGGGCACTTCTGCTGTATCACATTGGGTCACCGTGAGTCAGAAGCAACTTGACAACATCTAACAACAACAGCATAATTACATTAAGAGTCCCTACTTGACTGCTAACCAGAAGGCTGGCAGTTCAAACCCACCAGCCACTCCTTGGAAGGAAGATGGGGCAATCTACTTCTGTAGTGATACTGCCTCAGAAACCCAAGAAGGGGTTGCTACGAGTCGGGTCCGACTTGACGGCACATAACAACAACAACAATGTGGTAAAAATGGTCAATGGGTCGGCTATTAAACAAAAGGTTGGTGGTTCGAATGCACCCAGAGGCATCTCAGAAGAAAGACCCAGCATTCTACCTCCAAAAGATCACAGCCATCGAAAACTCTATGTAGCACAATTCTACTTTGACATACACAGACCACTATGAGTCGAAATTGACGTAATAGAAACTAGTTTGGGTTTGGTTTAGTAAATATATTAAATTATTGGATATCTATTTCTGGTGGTGATCAGCAACAAAGACAAAGAAGTTACTGAACAGGAGATAGATTTACTGGAGAACTTCAGTGCTAACCACAAACATACAGAAAATAAGTCCATGTATACATCTGCAGACTTTGGTCTCTTTCACATACATATATACTAGAAGGTAGATACTTCACTAGGGATTCATGAAATTTGAAATCAAGAAACATATTAAGAGTTGAATTTGACATGTGGCACTCTTATAATTACTTAGGAAATTTGTTAGTTATCTTGCAGCTTGTATATATTTTTTCCCCCTTTGTTTGTTCCTTGTATGTTACCTTCATTTTAGAAAGAATATTTGCAAAGATAGGTGGGGAGACTTTGGCAACCGGAGAACATTACTCACTACCTGTCCTGAGGTGTGACAGGAATATGAGGTAGTCTCTGTGCACTCTCATGAATGGAGATATGGGCATTGATATCTCCCAGGCATAGAAGAACCTAATATCTTTGTTGCAGCTAATCCTTTTTCATTATTATTACTTTATTTATTTTGCTGTTGCTGAGAATATACACAGCAAAACATACACCAATTCAAGTTTTTACATGTACAATCTAGTGACACTGATTACATTCTTTGAATTACGCAACGATTCTCATCCTCCTTTTCTGAGCTGTTCCTCCCTCATTAACATAAACTTACTGTCCCCTAAGGTTCCTTTCTAATCTTTTGAGTTGTTGTCAATTTGATCCCATATAGGTAGTTCTTTAAAGAGTGTACTGCTCAAGATAGACCTCGTTTACTAGTTAAGCTGAAATATTATTCAGTTTTAAGAAGACTCCAGGTGGTATTTTTTGGTTTAAATTTTAAAAAGTATCTCAGGGTGATACTTTCATGGGTTCATCTATTCTCCAGAAAGTCTTGAGTCCAAGAGAATTAGAAATTCTGTTCTGCATTTTCCCTCTTTTGACCTGGATTCTTCCATAGAATCTTTGATCAAAATGCACCATCATGGTAGCTAGGCACCATCTAATTCTTCTGATCTGATGCAAAGGAGGCAGTTGTTCATGGAGGCAATTAGCCACATGTTCCATATCTTCTTTTTTCCTTACTCTTCTTCCTGTTTTCCTAAGTGAATAGAAACCAATTGTTGTGCCTTAGATGGCAGCTTGTAAGCTTTTAAGATCCCAGGTACTACACATTGAACAAGGAGATAGAACAGAAGCACTTAACATGCTATTAGGCCAATTTACTGGTATGTCCCATGAAACAATAACCCTAAACCTCCAAAGAAAAGAACCATACCCATGAGGGTTTAGTCATACAAAAGTGGCTTTGGCAGCTACTCTTTTTTTGTGGTTGTTGTTGCAAATATATCTATCACGCAAATTTTGCCAATTAAACTTTCTATAGGTGTACAACTTATTGACAGAAATTACAATAATCAGTTGTACAATCTTACTCTTAACCAATGCAATTTTTCCATCACCGTGAATCTCCCTTTTCACCATCTGGTAGCCACTAATAAACTTTAATCTCTACACATTTGCCTTTTCTTGTCCATTTTTTTTAGTAAGTGAAGTCATACAATATTTGTCCTTTGGTGATTGACTTATTTTGCTCAGTACAAGCTTCAAGCTTCACCCATACTGTAGTATGTATCAAAACTTCATTGTCCTACTGGCTGAGTAGTATTTCACTGTTACACATGTACCACATTTTGTTTATCCATTCATCTGTTGATGGGCATTTAGGTTGTTTCTACCTTTTGGCTACTGTGAGTAGTGCTGCAATGAATATTGGTGAACAAATATTTTTTCGAGTCTGCTTTCAAGTATTCTGGGTATATACCTAGGAGTGGAATTCCTAGGTCATATGGTAGTTCTATTTTTAGTTTTTTTAGGAACCGTCACACTGTTTCCACAGTGGCTGTACTATTTTGCATTCCCACAAGCAACGGATAAAAGTTTCCATTTTTCCACATTCTTGCCAACATTTATTATTTTCTTTTTTTTTTTTTTTTTAATCTTAGCCATCGTAGTAGGAGTGCAATGGTATGTCATTTTTTGTCTATCTGATGGCTAATGACACAGAACATTTTTCATGTGTTTGGTGGCCATTTGAATGTCCTCTTTGGTGAAATGTGAAATTAGAATTTCTGTTGGTGTCTGTTCAAGTCCTTTGCCCATTTTATGATTGGGTTATTTGTATTTTCACAGTTAAGTTGTCAAAGTTTTATATACACTTTGTTTATTAGATTCTTCATTGTAGCTAATTCTTAATGATGAAGCATCACCTTCTACTACATGTTTACTATCACATTCACAAACAACTGTGTTTTAAACATGGTCTTCCAATAATAGGAGGCACAGCAATCAGATTCTGGATCCTCATTTTCTTTGTGACATTAACCTCTCAGAATGTCCCCTCTTAGAACGTGAGTGCTAATTTACTGGGTTGTACCAATTCAATGAGTTAAGGTAATGCCCAGTTTCTGACACACAACAACCTATTAAGAAGTAGAAGGTATTACAACATTTTGATAAACTATGAACTGCAATTCTTATTTGGTGGCTCAAATATGACAAAGACAGGGAAGGAAGAAAAGCACTATAGGGTTCTTATATCTTTTTCTTATTCCCTCAGATAAAAAATAAAAGCAGAGTGAGTATTGCCATTTTCAAGGTTTTCAGAGAGGGTAAGATTGGACCTAGACTATTCTGTAAGTTTGCTTTAACAAAAGACCACATATTAATGAAACTAAAACTCAAATACATCAACTTTAAAAATATGAGAGCAATGAAAACAGATTATATTTATTTTGATACAACTCTTGTTAGGAACCTCTTTTAGAACCTGATAACTTTCAAGAAAGGAAGGGTGGTTTATGATGGATCCCAAGAAAGACTTTTAGGAGGTGGAGCTTTGCTTCTAAAACAAATAGCATGATTTGGCCCTTTGCTGATTGACGCTGAATTCACATGATAATTCAGTAGGCTTAATGTCAGGACAATTTAGGCAATGAATCAAGGGATAATTCTGAGTTTAGCTTCAACACAGGATGTACTAGCATTGCCTGCATGCGACATTATTTCCCTTCTTTCCCTGGGTAATTATTTGAGTGAGGAGCAAAAGCAACAACAAAAAATCTAAGTCTGAGGCATTCCAGATATTTATGGTAAAGTAGCATCCTCTCATATGAACATATATGCTTTTATTTTTTCATGAGCAAACAATGAAACACCAAAAAAGCATACTTCTATTTGATGCGTCAAAATCAACCTACTGTTTTGAAAATAATTTGTACTATACAGTTGAAAGTTCCATGTTTACAATCTTACCCTTTAGACAAAAAAGAAAAGAAACAAGTTTCTCATGTTACCTATCACTGATGGAAGACTCCTTCAGAAATATCAAGGGTAAGGTTGGATCATTAGGAGAAAAGCACTTCCCCTAGTGAACCTTAGTGTTAAAACAAATACTACTACTACAAATCGGAGGGTTCAACATTAGAAAAACAATCAATGTAATCCACCACATAAACAAAAGAAAAGAACCGTATGATTATATCAGTCGACCCAGAAAAGGCATGTGATAAAATCTAACACACATTCCTCTTCAGAACTCTCAGCAAAATAGGGATAGAAGGGAAATTCTTCAACATAATAAAGGGCATATATGCAAAGCCAACAGCCAACATCATTATTAATGGAGAAAGGCTCAAGGCATTCCCCTTATGAACGAGAACCAGACAAGGATGCCTTCTATCACCACTTCTATTTAACATTG